TGAGAATAAAATATTCTCAGTAACTGTTGACAATGCATCTTACAATGACTCTTGTGTTAGAAGTTTGAAAGAAAACATGTCATTGAGCAGTAAGTTAGTACTTGGTGGGCAACTTTTTCATGTTAGATGTTGTGCTCACATTCTGAATTTGTTGGTGCAAGATGGCCTTAACACTATTAAAGATGTCATTCACAATGTTCGTGAAAGTGTGAAATTTATAAATTCTTCAGATGCAAGGCTAAAGTCATTCCATGAAGTTGTTGAATTAGAAGGATTGAAAGAAAGGAAACTTATTCTTAATTGTCCAACAAGATGGAACTCCACATTCTTGATGTTGTGTACTGCAAGTAAATTTAAACATGCATTTTCAGATTACAATGAAAAAGAGTCACATTATAAGTATGCACCATCATTTGAGGATTAGGACAAGATTGAGAAGGTTTGTAAACTTTTGGAGGTTTTTAATGATGTCACTCATGTCATCTCAGCTAGTGATTACCCTACTTCTAACTTGTATCTAGCTGAAATTCAAAGGGTGAAAAAAGTTATTGATAATGCAGCTGAGTGTTTTGACATGTTCATGAGTGATATGGCAAAACCTATGAAAGCAAAATTTGACAAATATTGGGGGAGTGTAATTTGTTAATGTCTATTGCATGTGTTTTAGATCCAAAGATGAAATTAAATGGTATTAAGATAACTTTTCCCTTATTGTATAAAACACCAAGTGATGTTGAAAAGAATGTGGAGAAGGTGAAAAAGGCATTAGAAGATTTATACCTTGATTATGTGAACTTGTATAGTCAAGATGCTTCTTCTACTAGTGGACATAGTGAAGTCAATGTTGAAAGCAGCACTCTGGTTGATGGTAGACAACAAATGGATAAAGGGATGAAAGAAATATTGAGTATGGTTTACCAAAGTCAATCAATTCCTCTTACGAAATCAAAGTTGGAGACTTATCTTGAGGAAAAACTTTTTATTCTTTCTTCTACTTCATCCTTTTGTGCCTTGGCGTGGTGGAAAAATAATAGTCCAAAGTTTAAAGTTTCATCAAAGATGGCTTCTGATATACTAGTTGTTCCTATTTCAAGTGTGGCATCTGAATCCACATTTAGTGCTGGGGGAAGAGTCATTGATGAATATCATGCTAGCTTAAATGAGGAATCTATTGAAGCTCTTATTTGTGGTGGGGATTGGCTTCGTAACAAGTATGGGCTGAAGAAAAAATAAAAGGTAAGAATCTACTTATTACTTTAATACTTTATATTATTTTATATTATTACTTGTTACTTTAATATTTATGGTTTATGATTTATAAATTATGAGCACTTGAACTTGTAATGGACTTCATTATTTATTCTCAAATTTTTTCATTGTGTAGGGGAATTCTAGACAATAGGGGATTATGTTGAAGCCATGAATTGTTTAGTTTTATGTTTGAATACTATTTGTTGTTATTATGTTTAATGTTTCATGTTTGTATTGTGGACTTATGATTTCTGTTGTTGTTAAACTTGTGAATTTGTGATGGAGTTTTGTATTATGGCCTTGTAGACTTGAAGGTTATCAAACTTGTATGATTTTTGTATTATGGACTCCTACTTATTAAACTTGTGTTGTTGGACCTTTTATTATAAAATATGAACTTCCTTTTGTAGTTTGTGATTATTGGTTGATTGTAATTTAATAATATTATTATTTCTTTTAGAGGTGTATATTAAACGTTTTTAAAATGTAGGCTTTAAATAGGCTTTGAGCTTGTTTAAATATTCTCAAAGCCCATTTAGAACCTACTTTGAAGCCTTTTTAAAAGCCTAGTTTGTAAATAGGCTTTTAAAAATGCTTCAGGCCCGGCCAGGCCTACTGCAGGCTCAGGCTTGAGCCTAGAAAAAAGCCTACATACAAGCCCTGGCCTAGGCCTAGGCTTTACCTTTTCCTAACAGGCCCAGGCCTAATTCTTAAAAGCCTGGCCTGGCCTGGCCCATTTCCGCCGCTAGTGGCCGGTCTCTTTGTGGCTCAGCTACGTGTCGTTCGGACCAGGACTCGCGGGTCCTTGAGGCTCGGACACTGGGATCGTTACGATGCACTAGTAGAATTTGACTTCGTTGAATTTGGAGTTGAAATGAGTAATTTACAGTAGATTTTTGTGTTCTGGAATTGCTTGAAGTATACTATAATTGTTTTATAGTGAAGAATGGTTTTGAAATGATGAATTTAGCCATTTGAATGAAAAGCATGATCATTATTTATTAAGTTTGGTTGAGAAGCATGATCATTATTTGCTAATTTGATTAAAAAGCATGCTTAAGTATCCACTGCGATTTATTAAGAAGCTTTGCCAAGAAAATGAGATTGTAGAATGTACAGAGCTTGATTTCTTGTTACTATGAATAAGTTCATGAATTACATTTTGAGTTTAAAGATCATGATCAATATTTGCTAAGTGTTTGCCAAGAAGTTTTGCTAAGTATTAAAGTGATAAGCATGAAGTAGCATAATGTTTGCTTGACTTATAGTCAAAGAGAATTTGAGATATTTCTTATAGTAAAGAGCATGTTTAGCATATCATAAATTAAAGTGCATTAGTGGCTCTAAGTAAGCATAGGTATTCTTTCAAAAACCTATGTCTATTTTGGGAAAATCATTATCTAGTTGCATTAAGAAGTTACATGATATTTGATTTCTAATTTGTAAGAAAAGAGAAGTTGTGGAGAAGCTATGTGCATAAGTTTGCATAATTAAAGTTGTTGCATGAGAATGAAATGTATGAGTTATATCTATACGTATCTAGTGTGAGTAATCCGGGGTTTTGGAGGCCCGTTAGGACTATGTCCTTTCGGAAGGAAAGATAAAGTAAAGAAAGAAACGGACATTGCGATCCGATGCGAAGTAACGAGGTCGATATTCCCGAGTTACTAGGTAGGATACTACCCGCTGGCTTGGAATCCCGGTCAGGGGGTGTGTACACTGACAAGTACGATACATGATTCCACAGATTTTGAGAAAAGAACCAAAAGAGTGGTTCTGTGGCAAAAGATGAGTATTAGGCCGGCTAGATGCCGAGCCCAAATAAGTCCGTTCACATTGTGGTGAAGTTCCTACCTCGCCCACGAGTAAAAAGAAAGAAAGAAAGCGAGTCAACGTGACTCTAGAGAAAGAAGAGAAAAGCGAGTCTGTGTGACTCAAGTGAAAGATGAGAAAATCGAGTAATTGTGACTCTAAGAAACCTCCATAGAACAAGTGTTCCTTGTTACCAAAGAAAGAGTGTATATGTATATCTATCTATACTTATACTAAAGCATCGTGTTCATTTTATTGCATGATTATAAGAGTTGCATGTTTTACATGAAAGTATGAGAAGAAGCATGATTTGGTATTATTGCTTATTATGTTATATGATAGCACGAGATTGCTTAATGAGTTATATGATAGCATGAGATTGCTTATTGAGTTATATGATAGCATGAGATTGATTATTGAGTTATTTGATAGCATGAGATTGATTATTGAGTTATATGATAGCACGGGATTGCTTATTGAGTTATGTGATAGCATGAGATTGCTTATTGATATCTATGATAACATGATATTGCTTATTGAGTTCTATGATAGCATGAGATTGATTATTGAGTTATTTGATAGCATGAGATTGCTTGTTGAGATATATGATAACATGAGTTTGTTGAAGAGTTAAATGATTGAGAAAGTACGCCTACTTGATATTTAAGTTGCAAGTATATAGAAATACTGTTGAGTATGTTTAAATGTTGTTTAAGTGATTGAGAATACTTGATTTAAGTGTGTGGAACAAATGTTTTCCAAAAGTATATGCTATAGTATTTTACAGGGTCGAGTGGCGTTATACTTAGCTTCGTGCTAACGGGTTGCTTTCTACTTGTTTGTTTGTTAACCCCTTTCAGGTGGACCCAGTTCTTGAGAGCGATCAAGTTAAACTAGATTAGTTTAGTGTGCTAGTTGTAGTCTAAACTCTTATTCAGTTATGTTTATTTTGAGACTTGTTTATAGACTTATCTAGATGTTTTGATGGTGCTGGACACCAGTGCTTTATTCCCCAAGTTTGTTTAAAGTAGTAAGCTTGTTAATGTTTATATCATTTCTCTGCCTGTGCAATCACCGTGTATGGTGATTTGTGGCGGTGACACCTCTTAATGATGATTAGTAAGTTTATTATCCTTGTTTAGAATCCCTTTCAAAGTTAAGTTTTGTTATTAAGGTTTAAGAAAAGTGGGGTGTTACATTATGACACCCAGGTGTTCATATTTCCTATGGGACAATTTCTCGAACACCTTGCCTACATTCCTTCCCGGACCATTATCCTCTCGGATCTAGGGCAAGGAATGTAAAGGATTAAGAAGTCTACCTAGATTTAGCAATCTCTTGCCTAAATCTAGGAATCTAATATCTTCTAAGGAGCTGTGCCCCACTCCAAGGAAGCTACAAAGATCATCCTCAACAACAAGACATTCATAACATGAACAATCAATCACCACAATATAGGAAATCAAATCAAACCTATCAACACAATAGCAATTTACCCACCAATCCTAATCCCTAGAATTTTAGCCAACCATCATTACGATCAAGATCAAGCAATTGCAAAATAGGCAAAAAGATGATATGAGCAATGAAGAATAAGGATTAGATTTTACCCAAATGCAAGCAGATCTCTTCAATTACAAGGAGGTAATGAAGATCCAAACCACAAATTGCTTCAAATCTCCAAACCTTCTTACAAAATCAAGGAGTTTTTGGCTAAAACCTAGTGAAGAAAATGTAAAACTAATCTAGATCTAAATCTCTCTAAAAACTTCTCTCTAAAAATATGTAACTTGTATCTAAAAATGTGTAACTTCTCTTTAAAAATGGTAGAACCCCAAAAGAACTCCCCAAATGAATCAGATTTTTGGCTTTTAAATATGAAATTTCATTCGGCCTCCCATTTACGCGGCGTGACATCGGCGTAAATGGGAAATAAGGCCCTTCCGTGTCCAACTGTATCCGGCTCCATTAGTTTAGAATTACATGGGCTTCTTACGCTATGCTGCTCTGCGTAAATTGGAAATAACTCTCCTTCCGCTCTTGCTTTGCCTTGTCCTTCTTACGCCACCATCACGCCGTGAGGCCGGGCGTAAATGGTAAATAATTCCCCTTTTCTCCTTCTCTCGCGCGTGGTTGTCGCATGTTTGGTCCTTGGATGCGCTCCTTTCTTGGCTTTGATATTTTTAACCTCTTTTGTGACTTTTCTTGCCCAAAAACACCTAAAAACATTAAAAAATAAATTGGGAAGGTATTTCCATGCTAAACCATTTTTTTAGGATAATAACTCTCAAACGCAAGACGCACCTCTTTGACCAAGAAGTGTGCCCTAAGTCGTGTGACTGAGAAGTAATCTTACATTCCTTTCACAAGCGAGATTTTATTTTTCGACTCAGCCAAGAAGTTTACTAAAACAACTAAAACTTCGGTACAACATTTTCCCTACATTTTGCACTCTTTGGGTATCTACATAGAAAAAATAATGTTATTTTCAACAATAAAAATAATATTTAATGTGATACGTAGTTATTGATTATCTATTGAACTTTTAGTATGATTGTTTTTAGATATATATATATATATATATATATATATATATATATATATATATATATATATATATATATATATATGAACATAAAAAGATAAAAATAAAAATATGAGTATTTATGAAAGTTAAAGAACGTATTGTAAAACTTGATAGGGATGAAGAAAAGTTAGTATGCTTAGATCATGGTTGAAAAAAATCGCTAGGTGCTCATTGGGCACATGGAAGCACCTAGCCCCTAGGCGCTCGTGTATTTTTAATTTTTTTTAATTTGTTTATTTTTTAAATATTTTTTAAGACTTGATATTTATAAACTATTTAATATTATAATAGTTAATACTAAAATATTAAATATTAACCTAAAAAAAAATCTAGAGTTTGAATAATTTAGGGTTATTTCGCTCTAAATGATGTCGTTTTGAATGAAATAGCCATTTAAAAAAAAAGAAAGAAAAGAAAAATAGCTAATCAACCGACTAGGTGGCCTAGTCGGCACTTAAGAGGCCGCCTAGACCACCGATTATAATGATACGCTATGCGGTTGGGCAGCGCCTAGACGGCGATAGCGGAATTTTTGCAACACCAGTTTAGATAGAGGGAAAAAGTCTATAGAGAAAGATAGAAAGTTGAAAATTTTGGATTTGGAGTGTGAGATTTTAACTATTTATATTTGTGAGAAAAAAATCTACAGAAATTCTAATTTGATAGTCTTAAAAATTGAAAATAAACAAAAATGAGATAAATAAAAGAGTTTTTCTCAAAATGGTCCCTTGATTATTTCTTAATGTATATTAGCCACACAATAGGTAAACAGACCAAAATGCCTTCCATTTTAACTCTAATTGAATGGAATACCTAATGAGGAACTAAATTGTGTCAATTTTTTTGACAGTCGAGGGATCATATTTGGTGCAATTAAAAGTCAAAATGTAAAATTGAGAATGAGCAATAATCGAGAGACCATTTTGAGAAAAAAAAAAACTCTTTTTTTAAAAATGTTATTTTATTTGTGACTTGCTTTAAAAAAAATAATAATAAATTATTTGTGACTTATTCCGTAAAGAAAGTATATTAAAATCAGGAAAAAAAAAAAAAAAATTCCGTGAAAGCTTGTTAAATCTTTCCTTTTGTCTTTAAAAAACCTGGTATGGTCGGGTATTTCATCGATCCGAGAATTGGGTTGAATCAATCGAATCTGAGCTGAGCTGCAACTGCAATGGCGGGTGTATCACTCCAGTGCGGGGATTGCGGGGCCCTCCTCAAATCGGTAGAGGAAGCGCAAGAGCACGCCGAGCTCACCAAACACACCAACTTCAGCGAGTCCACAGAGCCCATTCTCAACCTCGTCTGCACCACCTGCGGAAAACCCTGCCGCTCCAAAACTGTAATCTTTTATTCTACCAGTTAACAATTATATATATATATCTACTACACAAACTCTTACTCTGTCCGATTGCACCAAGAAAACCCTTAAATCGCACTGTTAGTAAACTCTGATTATCGACTAAATAAACAATCGCACTGCATACTCCGCATGTGTTCAATGCAATTAGGGTTCGATGCTTTAGTTTAATGAATAAGAATATGCCAGAATATATTATACTTCAATTACAGAATGTGTTTTATTTGACTTACATGAATTCTGGATGTTATTTCATGGATACTTAAAGGAGAGTGATTTACACACCAAGAGAACTGGGCACAGTGAGTTTCAGGACAAGACTGCAGAAACTCTAAAGCCCATAAGCCTGGAGGCACCAAAGCCTAAGATTGATGATGATGGTGATGATCAGATGGGAGAGGCTGGTGATGGCAGTAGCAGTGGCCAGCAAGAAGGTAGTGAACATTTTGTGGATGTTCTGTAATTGAATTACAAGTAAAATTTTCTTTCATTTGCAAAAGGAGTGAATTTTGGATGATTTGGCATTGGAATGAAAATTTCCCTTTAGGCTTATCTATGTACAGTTAATACTTAATCTCGTTTGTAGAAATGTGCTATGTAGCCTACGTGTATTGTTTGGTAATGCATCTGAATGTTCTTGATAAAGATACCATTTTTGTGGTTCCATCAGATAACAATTTTTATGATCCTGGATTCTCCTTGGAATTTCAATTCTGTTGTCAACATGTATTGGCTAGTCAACTGAATTTTTGAGCAAATCAAGCCCTTACTTTCCCATTGAAATCTCAATTCTGTTGGTAATGCATCTAAATTTTCCCGCTAAGGGTTCCATTTTGTGGTCCCATCTGATAACAATTTATATGTGCCTGAATTCTCACTGAAATCTCGATTCTGCTGTCAACATGCACTGGCTACTCAACTGAATATTTGAGCAATTCAAGTCCTTACTTTCCGACTTTGCTCCTTTTTTTTTTTGGTTAGAAATGGTTGTTCCTGAAGTTGACCAAAACTTACTCACTGAACTTGAAGCAATGGGATTTTCCAAGGCAAGGGCAACCCGAGCACTCCACTATTCTGGTAAGGCATTGAATAGTGTTTTCCATTGACATGTATACTTTCCCACTTTGGGGTCCGTTTACTAACAGAAAACTGTTTTCTGTTTTCTAATTTTTCAGTTTTCATTCTCTGTTTTCCATTTTTTGTTTTCTGTTTAGAAAACTTGTTTACTAACACTTATTTTTTCAAATTTATTTTTTAGATTAACGTTATAAAATTAACACAAGTTTAATTTCGAGTTATTTTTAGGTCTTATATTTAAAATATTTTTCCATATGTTTGGTTTAAATGGAATAAATTTAATTTAATTTAATTTAATTTTTTTTTTTAATTTTTTTTTAAGTCTAATAGATGTAAGATTTTTACATTTGATAACTGAACAAAATTTATATCCGAACCAATAACCTACTAAGTTCACCTAAAATTTAGTTTAGATAATATTAATATTCTTTGAGCTAATGTTTACAATATTTTTTGGATATATTCATTTGAATGACATGTATATGAATATATAACTTTTACTTTGAATTCTAATATATGTGAGATTTCAGTATCCGATATCTGGACCGAACTTGTATTACGATGTAACATAATTAAAAATATTCATACTAATAATTTATTGAGTTCAATCAAAATCTAAAACATTATATACAGGTTAATTCTTAATTTTGATAATGTAAATAATGTCTAACTTTAAAGTGTAAGCAAATAAGTTATGTTTTGTGAAAACAGTAGAGGAAAAGGAAGAAATGATGCTTTATTTCATTGTATATGTCTCTAGTTCTCCAGATTACAACCATATATATAGGCATAAAGAAAGGCATATGAAAGGGCATAATAAATGCTGAAAAATTACTCATCTTCTCAAAGCTACAACTTCCTAGAGTAGAGTAAATATGACTGCCTATTTCCAACACTCCCCCTCAAGCTGGAGCATATAAATCAAAAGCTCCAAGCTTGCTACAAATGTATTCAATCCTAGGTCCACGAAGAGGTTTAGTGAGAACATCAGCAAGTTGGTCATTTGACCCAACAAATGAGGTAATGATGTCTCCAGATGCAACCTTTTCGCGTATAAAGTGACAATCAACCTCAATATGTTTGGTTCTTTCATGATAGACAGGATTGGAGGCAATATGCAAAGCTGCTTGATTATCACAAATCAATTTCATAGGACCAAGTTTATAGAAATTGAGTTCTGTGAGAAGCTGTTTAATCCAAATTAGCTCACATATTCCAAGTGCCATTGCTCGGTATTCTGCTTCTGCACTTGAGCGGGCAACCACATTTTGTTTCTTGCTTTTCCATGAAACGAGATTACCACCAAAAAGAATACAATATCCTGATGTTGATCTTCTATCCCAAGGGCATCCAGCCCAATCTGCATCTGTATATCCAACAACTTCTGTATGTCCATGATTCTTATAAAGTAATCCTGTACCTGGAGATCTTTTCAAATATCTTAAGATTCTAATGGCTGCATCCCAGTGGTTTTGACATGGCTCTTGTAGAAATTGGCTAACTACACTTACAGCAAATGAGATATCTGGACGGGTGATCGTCAAGTATAGTAGCTTGGCAACTAATCTTCGATATCTACATGGATTGCATAGAGGCTCCCCCTGTCTTGGAAGAAGCTTGACATTTGGATCCATGGGTGTGTCAACTGGTTTGCAGTTTGTCATACTTGTTTCTTCAAGAATATCTAAGACATATTTCCGTTGGGACACATAGATACCTTTTCCAGATTGAGCAACTTCAATACCAAGAAAATATTTTAATTTCCCAAGGTCTTTTGTCTCAAAATGTTGACACAAGTATTTCTTGAGCTGTTCAATTCCTTTTGTATCATCTCCTGTGATGACGATGTCATCAACATAAACCACAAGATATATGCTTTTTCCAAGAAAATGTTTATAAAAGACAGAATGGTCGGCCTTGCTTTGGATCATGCCAAATTGTTTGACCACATCACTGAATCTCCCAAACCAAGCACGTGGAGATTGCTTCAACCCATAGAGAGACCGTTTGAGACGACAAACAAGACTTGCTCCTGTCTTAGCCACAAAACCAGGGGGCTGCTCCATATATACTTCCTCCTTCAAATCACCATGTAAGAAGGCATTTTTAATATCCAACTGATATAACGGCCAGTGCCGATTGGCCGCCATTGAGAGGAAGAGGCGGATAGAGGTGATTTTGGCAACAGGTGAGAAAGTGTCTATATAGTCAATGCCAAATTCCTGTGTGTATCCTTTAGCAACAAGTCGAGCTTTAAGTCTATCAACTTGTCCATCTGGACCAACCTTCACATTATACACCCATCTACAACCAACCACAGTTTTTCCCGGAGGTAAAGAAACTAACTCCCAAGTTCCAGAAGAATCAAGTGCCTCCATTTCATCAATCATTGCTTGCGTCCATCCTGGATGAGTTAATGCCTCCTTGACATTCTTTGGAACAGAAACAGTAGACAAACTAGTAATGAAAGCACAATATGATGGAGACAATCGTTTTTGTGTGAGGAAATTATAGATAGGATAAGGATTTCGAGTGGATCTTTTACCTATTCGACTAGCAATGGGAGAGTCTTTTTCTATTGTGGTTTGGGCTGTGTCAATGGGAAGCAAAGATGTAGGACATGAATCAATCGGACACCCACCCTCTTGGGAGTTTTGACGATTACGTCGTTGATAGGTGTACCTAAATGGTGAAACATGTCCTTCCTCTTGAATGGTTGGATTTGGTGTAGTTCTTTCAGGAATCTGTATAGTTCTTTCAGGAACAGTGTGAGATACAGGTTCTGAAAAAGTAGGAACAGGGAGAATTTCTGTTACCTCTGTGGGTTCCCCTAGGAAATCAGACTCAATGGAGGTGGAAGAGAAAAAAGGTGTTGTTTCAAAGAATGTAACATCAAAGGAAATATAGAAACGATGTGTTTTAGGACAGTAACACCTAAAGCCCTTTTGGAGACGAGAATATCCAATGAAAACACACTTTATTGCCTTAGCATCAAGTTTGTCACGTCCTGGGGAGGAGTCATGAACGAAACAAGTGCACCCAAAGATCCGTAATGGAAGCTTATGGAGAGGCTCCTGTGGGCGCAAGACGTGAAGGGGAATTTTTCCTTGCAAAACAGAAGAAGGCATTCGATTTATAAGATAGCAAGAGTGAAGTATAGCATGCCCCCAAAAATTCTTAGGAACCTTGTTATGAATGAGCAAAGTACGGGCTGTTTCAACAAGATGCCGAATTTTTCGTTCAGCAACTCCATTTTGCTGAGGAGTTCTAGCACATGAAGATTCATGAAGTATTCCATGTGATGAAAAGAAAGAAGTGAAAGAGTCAGAAAAGTACTCTCTTGCATTATCACTTCGTAAGATTTTGAGAGATACCCCAAATTGATTCACAATTTCATTGTAGAATTTCTGAAATACATCAAATAATTCAAAACGGTTTTTCATTAAAAAGACCCAAGTGCACCGAGAGAAATCATCAATGAAGGCAACAAAATATGAGAATCCCAAAATAGATGAAACCCGACATGGTCCCCAAACATCGGAGTGAACTAGAGAGAATGGGGTAGAAGATCTCCTATTCACTCTACTAGAATATGAGGCTCTTGAGTGTTTCCCAAGTTGACATGATTCACACTCTATGGCTTTTAGACTTGACAAACTTGGAACAAGTTGTTTTAGTTTATTGAGATCTGGATGTCCTAAGCGACAATGGTTAAGGAGAGGTGAAACAGTAGCAGCGCAAGCTATTTTGGTATGGTAGGATATAAAAGGTGGTAGAGACCTCGTGATTCTTTTCCTACACCAATTGTCTCCTTTGTTTGACGGTTTTGAATAATTACAGAATCAGAGGAAAAGGTAACCAGACAATTAAGAGAATGAGTAAGTTGGTTAACTGAGATCAAGTTGAAGGGACAACCGGGAATGTAAAGGACATTAGATAAAGATAAAGAATAAATGGTGACCTTTCCAATTCCTATAGCCTTTCCTTTTGACCCATCTCCGAAAGTAACAGCAGGAAGAGAGTTTGAGAAATTAATATGAGAGAAAAAGGAAGGGTTACCAGAGATGTGATCAGTGGCTCCAGAATCCAAGACCCAAACTGATTCAGATCTTAATGCAAGGGCAGTATGACAGACAGTGGTACTGGAAATTCTTAATGCACTGTTCAGAATTTTGGGTTCTGCCATAATCATCGGAAAAATCTGCGAAAAACATCGGTAGGGTCGCAGGAAAGAGAAGCTGATCTGGAAATTCTGGCCAGAAAATGTCGCCGGAAGAGATGGGCAAGGTCGCCGGAGTCCTTGTTGGAGGGTTGTGGTACCACCTTTGTGAACAAAGCTCCCAGTATTGAATAATATAGAAAGAGGCAGTAGCAGTGGTTAAGAACACAGTTCACTGTGTTCATCTGAAAAAGTTTTCAGGCCCCAAAGAAGGTGGCTCTGATACCATGTGAAAACAGTAGAGGAAAAGGAAGAAATGATGCTTTATTTCATTGTATATGTCTCTAGTTCTCCAGATTACAGCCATATATATAGGCATAAAGAAAGGCATATGAAAGGGCATAATAAATGCTGAAAAACTACTCATCTTCTCAAAGCTACAACTTCCTAGAGTAGAGTAAATATGACTGCCTATTTCCAACATGTTTAAATAAGTAAGTAGAAAAGATAGAAGATAGTGATAAGTAAAATAAGATGATAATGAATGTAATCACGGTAATGTGGTTATAGTGACATATAACTAAATAGATGATAGATGATTCTGTTTTCCATTTAGAAAACAGATTTTAAGAGTGTTCCAATTTTACAGAAAACTGAAAAATTATTTTCAGTTTTCAAAAAGGAAAACTATGCTAGTAAACATGTTTTCTGTTTTCTATTTGCCAGTTTCCAGAAATTTCCAAAAATTTTCAGTTAGTAAACGGGCCCGTTATCCCAGTTTTTGTCTCTGTTCATCATCTTCACATGCGGACTCTACTACTCTAGAGATATCCTTTTGTGTGTGATTAGATCATTCAAATCTTGGCATATCTATAAATTTTTACTCTTACTAGTTCAATTCATTCAACTAAATCTGATATAAATTAGTGTTGCTAACTAATTTCAGGCAATGCTAGCCTCGAGGCTGCTGTAAATTGGGTTGTAGAACATGAAAGTGACCCAGATGTGGATGAAATGCCTCTGGTATGCCTGTGTTTAGAAGTTTATTTCAAGCATTTTATTAAACTATATCACCTAGTGGAAGAGTAGTTTGCTTAATTGAAACTCTTGAGCATAGAATGGTGGTTTCTATTGTCTTTCACATGCACTGCTTTAAGGCCCTTTTGATAAATTTGATTACCAAATGAGCTTATTTATGTGGCTGGTGACCTTTTAATCATGCCATGTGTTCCATCGTTTTACTATCCTGATTGGGGTTATAATTCTTAGGTGTTGTTACAATAGTTTCTGCATTGTCTCTTGAGACCATAGTGTATATATGTATTATTTTATATTTATATGCTAATACTGTTGACTATGGAAAATAATATCCTTGTTTCTAATTGTGGCTTATATTGTTGTCTAATGCCTCGGCAATGTAATTACTCACAAGTGTGTAAATAATTTTCTAATATGCCCAGGTTCCTGTCAGTTCCAAGAAAGCTGAGCCCCCAAAGCCTTCTCTCACTCCGGAGGAGATAAAAATGAAACAACAAGAGTTGAGGTAGGTTTTGGGTTTTGCCTGTTTTGTGTTTGATGTTGTTCCTTAATTCGAAAAAGTAACATGGTGGCTTGCAATATTCTTATACTTTAACTCTGTAAGGCTGCCTTCTTTATAGTCTCAAATTTTTCTTTTTCTGTGTGATCCAGATGTCAATTGCAGAGCTTAATACAATGCTTGTGTAAATTTAAAGGTGCTAGAGTAGTGGAATTTATATCCTCTTCTGTTTTCTTATACCCATGCCTGTAATAATTTGTAGGGAGCGTGCTCGCAAAAAGAAAGAAGATGAAGAAAAACAAAAGGAAAGAGAGAGAGAAAAGGTACATCTTCATTTAATTTAGTCACCATCCCTCACTGAATCTGCCACATTTCTTTTAGAGTTGGCTGTGTGTTTATGTTTTTTAAATCACCATCCATTCTTATCTTTATCGATCCATCCATCAATTTATAGTGTACTTCTGAAATTATTTTACATTTGACTTCAGGAAAGAATCCGAATTGGTAAGGAACTTCTTGAAGCCAAGCGCATTGAGGAAGAAAATGAAAGAAAACGGTTAGTTTCTGTTAAACAATGAACTCAACTTGTATATTTCTATATGTTCTGTACATATGTACAAGGAAGTGTAGAGCAATTTATACAAGACAAGAGCTAATTCTAGCCATAGATTTCAAACACCTAAACCTAAGGCTAAGAGAGATCCTCTCAACTAACACCCTATTCCTCCAACACTCCCCCAAGTTGGAGCATCCAACTTGTTACATATATATCACATGAACCATAGGACTCCACACCTAGACTCATAACTTCCAAGGCTAATGCCCAAGTCTTGAACCACTCGAACAACCTTCGAACCACGCTATGCCAAACCAGTCCACAACGCACCTTCTCGCACCAACAACGCTTCAACGGAGCCAACAAAAGCTAGGCCAATCACCACAGCGCCGCACCGCCTCTCACACCCTATACCCTTATCACCGCTGCCTAAAACCACATCGTACCTGCCTCTCACTCCACAAACTGTTAGCGCTGCTAGACCACAGTGCACTTGTCCCTCTCACCATGCACCCTTATCAACGCTGCCTAACACCACATCGTTTCCCTGGTGCATGCACGTAAACCGATTCACTCTGAATCATTCTTCAACCGTCGGCCTCCCCCGCGGCATATGCCAGGTCCGCCCCACTCCTGGCAACTATGCTGCCCACTCCTGCAGCACCCCTGTTTACGCACACTGAACAAGCTGCACTTGACTCAACTCAAACCCTAGAATTGCTCCCATACCAAGTTAACTTAAAACAAGCGACACACTATGACAAACCAAACACAAAGCTCAAGACTTATTAATACGATAAACAAAAGAACCTACTGCCTAATTGTTCCTCGTCAGCAGCACAAACCTAACCACACATTATGCTTCCAATTAATTTCCAGAAGCGTTCATCAACTAGACCTCCACGCCATTTTTTATTTGTAGCCATGAGACCACCCAACTTCGTGGACCTACCCTACCATCTCTCTCTCGGTTGTCTCTCTCTCGCTGGTTCCCCTCCATCTCTCTCGACCAGCAGCAATTCCTCCGACGCGCAGCTCCCCCCGCCGACCTCTGTTTCTTCCCGGCGTGCACAACAGATCCGGTGAGCTTGCAAGCTTCTCTCCGGCGAACTCTTCTGCCTGTATTGCTTGACGAAATGGGCTCACCAACATGTTTTACCGGAAACGTCACCGGAAATGACCTCACGCGCCTCCACCACCACCCCAGACCTCTTGGGCTCACAGAGACAAGCCCGCCGGTACTAGCCTCGACCGGAGAAGATGCCAGAACAGTGCGCACGCGTCGGCACGTGGCGTCGGAACCCTCGAACAGCGCCGGCGCGTGGCGTCAGAACCCTCGAACAGCGCCGGCGTGTGAGAACTCCGGTGGCTGCTCCGCTTCTCCCGACGGCGCTGCCTCCTCTTTTCGACCAAAGCCCACTACCCAATCACCTCAATCTCGCTCTGATACCATGTTAAACAATGAACTCAACTTGTATATTTCTATATGTTCTGTGTATATGTACAAGGAAGTGTAGAGCTATTTATACATGACAAGAGCTAATCCTAGCCATAGATTTCAAACACCTAAACCTAAGGCTAAGAGAGATCCTCCCAACTAACACCCTATTCCTCTAACAGTTTCGTATTCACATTCATGTATCATTTACTGTTTGATCATATTTTCTTATTCAACATTGCCCTGCATACATGTAGCATTTACTGTTTGATCATATTTTCTTGTTCAACATTGCCCTGCAGTTTGATAGCCTTGCGTAAGGCAGAGAAAGAGGAAGAGAGAAGAGCAAGGGAAAAAATTCGTCAAAAGTTAGAAGAGGATAAGGTCAGTGCCTATGATAAAGCTGTTTTGAATTAATGTGAAAATTGTTTTGGCTCAATGAGTCTGAAGATATTTCTATTTTGTTGCATGTAATGCAACTAAAAATAACAGGTTCATTTCAGCAGAACTGTTTTCTTGGGATGGTTTTGGTGATGTTGAGATTTATGCATCAGTTTTGACATTGCCAAGCTTAAAATATAACACCTGGACTCTTATGATAACTATTTTAATTGGACAATATTCCTTTTTCCTTTTTCTCCCTTTTCTTGATTTTGGGGTTTTTCCTTCTCTCTTCGTACTGTTTGATATGGTGAAAACTATTTACAACTTGACAGGCAGAAAGACGACGCAAACTTGGTTTGCCTCCTGAAGATCCTGCTCCAAAACCTTCTGAACCAGTAGTAGAGGAAAAGAAGGTTATTTTTGTAATTTGATAAAATTGGTTACTTTTTTCCCAGAACATGTTCTTGTGAAAAGACTAAAATTCCCTTATCCAAATTTTGGTTTGTAGAGCTCACTGCCTGTCAGACCAGCTACAAAGGCAGAGCAAATGAGGGAGTGCCTGCGTACACTTAAGCAGAGCCACAAGGTAATGGATTCTAGATGTAATTGGTAATTTCCTTATATTAGTACTGCACACACAACTGCTTAGGTCATTTCATAGGAAACTATTATGTGAAGAGTGTGCTGGGATCCACATCTTCTGTTATTTCTTCTCTTGGTGATATATTGTCATCTGACCTGTGGTTTGGTCATTAAGAATCTGCTGACATTGTCAGGCAGAGCAGATCTCTAAATGGGAAGCTAATGACAATGGTTTGCTTAAGTGTTGCTTTTCCTTCTTTCCATAAGTCCATTCCTTGCAATGTTTTTCTGACAGCATGGTTTATAAAAGAACACTTGTTTCTTATATTACTTGCATGTCTCTGGAACTGATACTGCCTGTACTTGTTGAGTATATAGGTATGCATCTTTGTTTCAGTTATGATCAGTGAATTTACTTCTATTCTTCTTTGATGTACAAGGATGACGAGGCTAAAGTGAAGACTGCATTTAATACACTACTAACTTTTGCAAAGAATGTTGCAACAAATCCAAATGAGGAGAAGTTCCGGAAAATTAGACTCAGTAATCCTGCAATCCAGGTGAGCATATGAAATAAGAAAACAAGCAAAGTATTTGGTTGTAGTTAATGGTTTATTGTATTATTGATGAAACCCTCTTAAAATCTGTGTCTGAAATCCCTGGATGTCATAGAAAAAGTTGTGTTATGCAAAGTAATTTTTTGTCAAAAGAGAAAAAGGGATACACAATAATGTAATAATAATGAATACGCCGTAATTACAATAACAGAGACCAATGAGATGATAGGTCATGTATACATTTGGCCATGCCCTTCAAAGAATATTAACGTTCTTTACCCATGAATAATAACAAGAATGGAGACTTGTCTATACTTTGGGCTATTTGCTTCACGAGTACCTCTTGCAAGCAGTTTTGCTTATATTTTGATTCAGGCTGCCATTGTTGCAGCAATATTCTCAAAGGGTATCATAACTTCACAAGTAAATACATGAAAAATAAAGGCACAACTAGAGACCAAAGTTTTAGATTCCTTGATAAGCTGTAACACAGTAACAGCTACCATGAGGTGTTCTATATATATTAAATGCTATATTATAATTAAGTGTTTTAAACTTTTTTTTTTTCTGAATATTTTTACAGGAAAGAGTTGGAAAATTGAAGGGGGGTGTGGAGTTCCTTGAGCTTCTTGGATTTGAGAAAATTGAAGGTGGAGAGTTCTTGTATCTTCCAAGTGATAAAGTAGACATGGCTGTGCTTCACTCTGCTGGGACCGAGTTGAACAGTGCCATCAATAACCCCTTCTTTGGAGTCCTTTGATCCTTACATTAGCTCTGCTGAAACATTCTAAACTTTGTCAAACCTAATATACAGGAATATGTCGAGTTTTCTCTTGGTTTTGAAAAGGTACATTGGAGGTGGGAAGGGAAAGGAAGGGATATGTTCTGGATAATTGGATTTCATTTTGCCGTTAGACTATGTTTGGAAACAATTATAGTTTTTCTTTATCATATTTGGTTTTAGAATTATGCCCCCAAAGGATCATTCTCCAATTGAGAGTGTGGATATATTTGAGGAAGTATTTTGGGTAATGTTTTTTTATTTGTTTCAACATTTTAACTGTATTTGGAGAACCAAGTTAAATTCAGTTGTTCCTCATTTTACTTTGGATCTGTATAGCACATAAAGTCTAAACTGAAAATGAAACATGGAGAAACAATTTTAAAATGTTTTTTTAAAATATACTATAGAAAATATAGAACAATGTGTAAATATTAATTGTCTAAATAGTTTCATAATTAAAAATAATATATTATAAAAACACATTTGATTTACGAAATAAATTAGACAGAATAATATTGTATTATGGTATTAAGCTATTCATAGAATTCATTAAACTTAACACGGTGTTTTGTTCAAAGAATAAAAAATGAAATAATGAAGAAATAGAATAGGAATACTATTTTTGATTCATAATGGGAATAAAAATAGAATTATATGAGTAACCATATTCTTGATTTTAGTTGGACTATGTAATAAAAAATTATATCATTTAAATGACCAAAATGTCCCTATTCAAAATAAAACAAATATAAATATAATTTTGGACAATATATATACAAATAAAAACAAACAATAAATAAATATAGAAATTGGTTCCGTGCAGTTGGGTGTATCAGGTGCGGTTGTGGGGTTAAATCTGTGCCTTTGATCTCGCTAAAATCAACTGTTCAGATTGAACACCGATTAAAAAAATAACGTGGTGGCATTTTGGTCTTTTTGCATATTAGTCAAACTAGTGGTGTTCCTTCTTAAGGTGCGTGAGTTCTTTAGTTGAGAACTTAATGTGCGTCGATCTCCAAAGGCTAGACCAGATTGAAGACAGTTCAAGCCGCAAAAGAGAAGATGAAGAAGAATCTGAGGAGGCCAAGGAGTCGGAGACTGAGGAGTTCTAGCTTGTGTTGTGGTTATCCCGTTTGCCTTTTCTTTGTTGTTTTCTTCTTGCCGTTGTTAGTTTGGTAGTAGTTTGTTGTTTGCCTTGTATGCTTGTTTTTGCTTGTTGCTTTGTTGTTTAGTTAGCTTAGTAGTTGGTGTTGGTTGTCTAGTTCTTAGTTGTTGACTAGAAGTCGGTGTTTGTGTTGAGGCTAGAATTCTTGATGCTCAATTTATCCGTTTGTTAAACTCTTGCCAATCCTTGATTTGATATGCCTACTTTCTTTCTTTGAAATTCTTGTGGATTCTTTTGAGTTTTGACCAAAAGAGTTTGTTCTTGAACCTCTTGTCACAATGTTGTTTCCTATCACCGTTTGCCTTTAATTCATCGTACCCAAGCTTCGGGGACGAAGCTTCTTTGAAGGGGGAGAGGATGTGACACCCTGAAATCCAAATTTAATTAAGGGACTTGTGACACCCCGAAAATCCACATTCAATCCATGGATCAATTGAGTAATTAATCCTATTTCATTTGAGGAATTAATTCCTAAAATCCTGATTTTTAATACTCAAGGACTAGTATTTGACTAGTCAACCTTAAAGTTGTGTTGTACCTTGAGCTTTGAGGGGAGTTCCCTTGTTCCTTACACTTTCTAAAGCTTAGTAAGGGTATTCTTGACTTTTCACCAAGAGTTAGTATTGTAACTTAACCTAGAAGACTTCTTCATTTCATTCCTTACAATTCTTAGAAATTAGCTCTACCTTCTCTCTAGAAAAGAGGTGTAGCTTATTCTCCAAGCTAAGTTGAGACCCTTGTCAAGATTCCAAGATTTGCTTCCAAGATTCAACCTTTCACCTATTTGGGCATCTAAGAGGGTAAGATCTAGGTCCATCTTGTGTTTTTGGTTCCATCTTAGTTGTCTTTTTCTTAAAGGTAGAATCTTTATGATCTTTTGGTTTGATCTTGAAGTGGGTTTGGAAAGTAAGCCTTGTAAGGAGCTTGTGAGGTGTAAAGTGAAGTCTTTTGGTCTACAAGAGGTAACCCATGCTCTACTAAAACCTATTTTGCTTACCTATATGTGATTTCTTGGATTCTACTTGTGTTTTGCTATGAAATGTGAGGGTTTATGCATTTGTCTTGTGATATTGCATATCTGGAGCTTGTGTTTAGGGTTCCTTTGTGCCATTGCTTGGCATTTTCCATGATTCAAGTCATTTTGTTGTGTTGGGTGAGATTTGGCATGTTTTGGACTTGAATTTGTGTTTGGAGAAGAAAATCCCCCAAGGGATTTGTTGTGGTACAAGAGTGTACCCGCGGGCGGAACGGCGGGCGGGGCACCACCCGTCGGCCTTCCCGCAGGTACATAGCCTTGTGGGATGATGTTCCCGCGGGCAGAACCACGTGTGGGGCACTACCCGTGGGTCCACCCGCGGGTACATGGTTGGTGTTGTGATGGGATTTGTTCCCCGTGATTCGTTTGGCTCGGTATTTGGTCTTTTGACTTCTCGGTGTTCTTTTGTGGAACTATTTGAGTGTCTTCTTGATGTTTTGTATGTCTAGAACTATATGGTAGGTATCCATGTAGGACTTTAGTATCTTGAATCGTGCTAAGTGTTCAACATTGTGTTTCGTTGGACCGAGAGGTGTCTTGTGTGTTCCTCGGAACTATCTTGAGTTTCCCCGTTGATAAGCATGCTAGTTTGTTGTCTAAATGCTAGCGTGTGTGTTGTTTGTACCTTCCGTGTGGTTGATGATAACTTGCGTTATTCATCGTTGATGTTGTTGGGCTGTGACCCGTTCCTTGATTGAGTATGTTTCATACCTTCGTTGTGATCCGTTGTTTGACTCTTGTTGAGTTGTGTTGCGTGTGTGGCTTTACCTGGATTACACGATTAGTGGTATGGGACACTAGTCACCAAGGTATTGCAGCGGTCCTCGTGGTGGCCGTAGCGTGATTATGGAGCTGTGGCCTTTGTGTAAGGTTCATGTTTTTGGGGGATAGCATGTGTTATCCGGGCATGTGTGCCATGTGCGTGTACGGTACCTCGTGTACTATGAATCAGTGGTTTTGTTGGAGGACTGTTGGAGGGGGAATGACGATTCCCGGGGGAATAAGGTTGGTCTGTATGTACAGGGGTCCTGGAGGTAAAGGTTGGAACTAGATATAAGGTTGGGGGTAGCCATAAGGTTGGAACAGGGCATAAGGAAGGCATATCAACTCGTGGCGGGTGATGTCACGAGGGCTTGTGTAGCCGTGGTTGTGTGTTCTCTCTTGTGACGTGTGTAGTCACAAAGGCATGTGATGCCTAGGCATGTGTTGCCGATTGTCGTGTCTTTATTCTTGTGGTGTCGTTATCCGTTGTGGTCTTGGGATGTGTTCCCGTGGTGTTTATTGATGAGTGTCAAGTCTTGAGTTGGTGTTTACTCTTGGTTTTACACTTATATATATGTATTCCGTTTCGAAATGATTTTTGTATATATATCCTACCTATGTATGATACTTAACAGGTATTGGTGGGTTACCAGCATTATCGCTGACCGGGCGTCGTCCCAATGTTTATCTTTGTGTCTTTCAGGTGATGTCTAGACGAGCGCGATGTTAGTGGCCAGTAGTCTAGTATCTTTACCTTTGTTTTGTGGCCTGTGTGCCGTTGTAGTGTTAGACCGTTACCTTTTGGGATAGATGTATACACTTGCAGATTGATCGCCGTAGCGTTTACCGTGTTTGGTAGACGTGGCATAACACCCCGTTTAGATTTATTTTATCCAGTTTTCGTTTTATCTTCCGCTGTGCTAGTTTTGTTGTATGATCTGCAGGTGTTAAAGCCTTTTATATAGGTCGTGTTTGGGGGGTGTTACAGTTGGTATCAGAGCCTAGGTTTTGAGCCTAGGAAGAGTTAAGTCTAGACTTTCTAAGTGGTTAATTGTGTTTTGAGACCTTTAAGCGACCTTAAGAAGCTAAGTGTTAGGCTTAGGACTCTAGGTTGCGCGGTGAGCTGTGTGTTGTTTTCTGTTCCTTGTTTGTTGCTTCTCTTATCGTGTTGTTGTTGTAGAAGTGCGATGCCTCCTCGTCCTCGCGCACGCACCCCGGAGACCCCGACCAACGAGCAGCTCGCTCAGAACCTTCATCAGCTGACTCAGACCATGCAGACGCTCAGTGAAGCTCTGTTGAACAACAATCACGCTGTGCCGCCTCCTCCCCCTGCTGGGCACCGTGACGTAGGACGTTTAGTGTCGGGTCATCGGCCGCCAACCTTCGCTGGCGAGGAAGACCCTGTAGTCTTAGAAGAGTGGCTACGGGTGTTTGATAAGATCTTCACCGTGGTGGGCTGCCCCGAAGAAAGGAGAGTAGAACTGGCAACGTTCTACTTTTGCCAAGAAGCGGACTTGTGGTGGGTTCACGAAGGCCCGGCTCTTCTCGAAGAACCAGAGTTCGACTGGACAGCGCTCATGGACCGGATGCGTGAAAGGTTCTACCCTGCACATGTGCGCGCGGCCATGTACGAAGAGTTCCTCCACCTGCAGCAAGGGTCCATGTCTGTGGTTGGGTACCACAAGAGGTTCTTGGAGCTGACACGTTTTGCGAGGATGCTTGTGCCTACGGAGCTCACCAAAGTCGTGAAATTCGTGGCCGGTCTGAATTATGAGGCGCGAAAAGCTTTGACTGTGAGTAGGCCGAGTTCTCTTAAGGACGCTTACGTGTGTGCCGCTGATCTGTATCGCGTGCAGCAGCTTCAGAGCGGTTCGTTTGAGCAAGCTAGGAAGAGATCTGAGGGCGGAAGTTCTTCTACCTTCAAGAAGCCAAGACCGAGTTTCCCAATCAGGAATGTGTCATCTTCTTCTCAAGGACCTATCAGGACAGAGCACGTGAACCAAGCTAAGGCATATCTTTGTCAGCGTTGTGGGAAGATGCATGTGGGTCAAAGTTGCAACGGCTTTGCGTTCAGGTGTTTTCGTTGCGGAGATCGTGGTCACAGAGTCGCAGAGTGTCCCCAGTTAGCCGGCCAGAGAGCGTTACCGCCACCCCCAGGAGCCGGAGGAGCATCGGGAGCTGGTTCGGGCCGTGGAGCAGTTGGAGCAAGGCCACCCGGAAGAGTCTTCGTGATGGCGCGTTCGCAGGCGGAGTCGGAGGGTTTGGTGGAAGAAGAGTTGGCAGGTAACCCTTGTCTTCGAGTCTATCCTTGTTTTCCCGAGAGTGTCGTGTTCTTTGTTTCCTTGAGTGTTATCTTGTGTTTCGTAGTTGTCTTTTGCTTGGTAATCCTTGGCATGCTTTTCTTGCTAGTAATTCTTTGGAGCTTGGTGTAAACTCTTTTCTTGCTAAGTGATCTCTTTAGTTGGCATCTAAGTCTTGTTGTGAAGTAGCCATCTATCTTTGGAATACCTTGTGCTTAGACCAATTCTACAATCCCTACACTTGGTTGTTCTTACAACAATTCCTTGTGAACTTCCTAAATTTTCCAAGTATTCTTTGAATTTGGAAATAGCAAAATTCTTGCCAAAAAAATTCTTTCTTGTGCATTCTAAAAATCAAGCCTAAAGTTTAATTGTAACCTTTGAGTTTTGAACCCAAAGTCTATTCCTTTTCAACCCAACTCCTAAACCACTTGAGCTAATTGTCTTTCTTGGAACCTATCCAATTTTAATTCCTTCTAAACCATGAATTCCCACTTTATTCAAAATCCCCACATTTAATCATCTTTTTCCCCAATTTCTCCCAAATCCCTAAAATCCCAAATTTCCTCTCCTTCTTCTTTTCCTTCTTCTCTACCCGTGAGCACCCTAAACCCCATCCCCAACCCATAGCTCCACCACCACCAACCCGTCACCCCACCACCGCCAGACCGCCGTCGCTACAGCCGCCGCCGTCGCCGCGTCGCCGAGAGCGCGCGAGAGAGAGAGAGAGAGGCAGCGTGTGTGAAGAGGTAGAAGTTGTGGGCTTTGTTTGTTGAGATTTGGATCATCTCCTACCATGCCTAGAAGGTCAAGCTTGGCTAGAAAAGCGGAATGAGTGGATACCCACTACCTTGTTCTTGAAGGTAAAGCTTTTGATCCGGAATCTTTTTCTAGTTCCTTGTTGGATATGCTTAGGTATCAAGGTTTGTTGGATGGGTTTCTCGCCATAAGGGCCGAGACATACCCGAGTTTGGTGAAAGAGTTTTACCGTCACATGGTTGTGACGAAGGAGGATGAAAGGCTTGAGATCACCTCTAAGGTGAGAGGTGTAAAGGTTGTGCTTTCTGAGAAGAGGTTGGCTCAGTTGTTGAGTTTGTCTGCTACCGGAGTAGCTCAGTACAGTGGTCATTCTTGGATTAGTACGGATACCATGGGGTACCGTGACTACTTGAGCTACTTGTTAGGCCGTACGAGTGGTTTCACTCAAGCCTCTAGGCCGGAGAAGAAGTGGTTGTCTGCGAAGCAAAGGATCTTGGTGATGTTGGTGTCGGACTGTTTGTTGCCAAACAATAACAAGAGCAAGTTGTTGGGTAAGCTGGAGTGCACTTTTGCTTTCTGTTTGAAGAATATGGTTAAGTTCAACTTGCCTGCTTTGATGTTGCAACACATGGTGTTTTGCCGGGATCACAATCGGAAGAGTTTGCCTTACGGAATGGTGTTGAGGTGGATCTTGGTTAGGAAGGGCGTCAGTGTGGATGGTTGTCTTCCTAAGGCTGTGGGAAAACTAGTGTTGGATGCCGCCAACCTTCGGAGTTGTCACGTGTTTCAGTTGGATGATGGTGAGTACATCACGCTTGTTGGTCCCGAAAGGGTGGCGAGAAGTCTAGAGGGGGGGGGGGGGGGTGAATAGACTTCTCTAACTTTTTCAAACTTCTTCTGCAAACAACACTTTGTAACTTCAACTCTAAGTAACAAGCAAAAACAAGTTTAACAACTTAGAGTGTGCACAGCGGAAATGTAACGGCAAAGTGTTATGCTTTAAATTGTGTCGTGCTCAAGAGAGATTTCATACATGCATCACGTTAGAAACACTTAATATAGATGTAGGATGATGTATATAAAATTTCACTTGCATGCAAACGAGGGAACTATCAAACCCAGACAGATAAAGATACGCAATGAACCGTAACGGGTTAGTTCACAAATAATATAGGCATGCACGGAATATATATGAGCAGTAAGTAAATAGAAAGAGAGATTTATAGTGGTTCAGAGGTGGTGTAATCCTCCTAGTCCACTCTTCTCCTTTCACTTCAAGGAGGAAATTCACTATTCTTCAATCACCGAGATACAATAGTGAATAAGTGCCCAACGACACTTCTCCGAGTGCTTCGCACAAAGCTACACTCCACCAAGGTTTTTCGCAAGCTCCTCTTGTTACTCCGCCTTCCCGAGTACTTCGCACCAAGCTGTACTCCTACACCACGAGAACTACGCACAAAGCTACGCTCTCACCGGGTTTTCACAAGCTCCCCTTGTTACTCTGCCCGTTACAACCGAGTACTACGCACAAAGCTACACTCCAACTGGGGTTTTCACTCTCCCTAGTTACTCTACCCCTTTTCTACACTCAGTAGAAGATTTACAATGAAATACAAAGATTTCTTCTCTCAGACTTGAATTCTATCTTATATAGCTCAATATACCACTTGATGATTGATTGGATAATTTTCTTTGTTGTTCAAGTGTTTTCTGAATCTCTGTTAGATTCGTGCTTGTCTTCAAGTCTGCTTGGGCAATTTATAGCAGATGAAAGCTATTTGCCCGTTGATCAACTTTCGATCTCGATCGTCCATTTTGAATTGTAGTTGATCAAATAATTTTGCCAACTTGGTCTACAAAAATCATTTCGTCGTCTGTCAGAAGATTTTGAGAAATCTCGCCGTTGCTCTCCTTTAATCTGACAAAGCTTTTCTTTGGAATGGGTAGCCTCCAAATTTAAATTTTCTCTGGCATGACTTTTGTTGAATTATTGATATGATGTGCCAAGTTGATCAAATAATTTATCTACTGATTCTTGCTTGAGTATTAAAAAGATTTCCTTCGTATATCAGCTTCTTCTTCTCCTTCGACTTCTTCTGTAGAAACAGAGCTTCAAAATAATGTTTCTGTCTAATTCTATCATGATGTCATAGCTCTTTTTGATGACGTCATGTCCCAATAGTGTATCATGTTCCACCTTGTATCATGGACTATATATATCATGTTCCACCTTGTATCATGGACCATATATATCATGTTCCATTTCATATCATGAGCTAGCTATCATGTTCCACCTTGTATCATGGACCATATATATCATGTTCCACCTTGTATCATGGACCATATATATCATGTTCCATTTCATATCATGTTCCACCTTGCATTATGGACCATGTATCACGTTCCATTGTATATTATGAACCAATATCATGAATTCATAAAATCGCTTCAAGTGGGAATCAAACTGTGGACCATTTGCTTTGCTTGGCAAAGCTTCTTCCATCTCAGCTGGGTAACCAATTGATAAAATCCAAGACTTAAATTCTTTTGACTTATCTCTCCCACGTGTTCTCCACTAGCTTTATCACATTCTGATGTCATTACCCGATAGTCGTGATGTCATACTATCATGATGACATCATCTCCTGATATTGCTACTTCACGATAGCAATTCATCTTTACACCAAAATTGCTTCTAATGAGAATCGAATTATGGATAATCTCACATTAAGCATACTTCAACAAATCTTTTACCATCTCATCCATCTCAACCTTTGGTGACTTGATGCTTCAGAAATGTGTTAAGCTATGTTCTCGTTTTCATTTATTCTTCCTTCAAACTGCTTTCACGTAGACTTCATGTAGGCTTCATGGCAGTGGTGCACTTTACTTTGTGAACCAGAACTGACTCAAATAAAATAAAATTGGGGTCTACAAAATACATTTGGCTCATCAAAACTTATACAATATATTCCTAACAATTTCCCCCTTTTTGATGATGCCGAAACTTATACCCAAGTCATTTGGCTATGTCAAATTTTTGAAAAATAATCTTTTTGTCCAATTTTATTGCGACTAGCCATTTGACGGGTTTAACACATTTAAGACCTAGAGATTTTAATTTTGGACGGTCCTAAACGTATATTGAGACTATAACGCGGGGTTGCGTATTGATTTTTATCTTTTAATTTTTCTTCCCTTTTCAATTTTATTTTCTCAATTATACGCCTCACATGCAATTACTAAGTCCAATTTAAAATCTTGATACTTTAAAGCAATAAACATACTAGACATAATAAAGGAATAAGCCATATGCTAGCAATTTATATTATGTACCAAAAGGAATAATTCGAACAAGCTAGCTAACATTATGTACACCAAAAAAAATTTGAGGCTTCAAAATTTTACCTCTTGCCAATTAAGGCATTCACGTGTGCCCTTAATTCCTTGAAGTTTCGTTTCTTTCCTTCGGGTTGGTATGGTGCGGTGACTTGCTCGGTAACATAATTTCCATAAGCTTCTTGAACATTGTCACCCCGTAACACTCCGGCTTGGTACCAAGCAACACATTCTTCAAATGATCTTCCATCTGCCATTTCGTTGCTTGTGTGCCCAAAGAATGTCTCAAACTCTCGTATAAGCTTCAACTTGTTTTCTTCATAAATTGATCTTGAAGGTGTTGATCTTTGGCATCCTTGTTGGCTAGGAAAATCCATGCTTTGAGGGGTCATCAAATAATCCATTATTCTCCTTTTTCCTCGGCCTTGAGCTCTCGGTGTGGGTGTGACTCCTCTCGGTGCTCTTTGAGGGCCCTTTCATAAGCTTGCTTGTGAAAATCATCTAATTTGGTATTAACATTACCAAATTGATTTTGGACTTTCTCAAACTCTTGAAAGACATCTCCTTTCAATTTTTGAATTTCTTTTCGTACATCCCCAATAATATTTTCTTTCAAAGCATTAATATCAATGGATGAAGAATGTACCTCCTTGTGTGTCTCATGTGGATGTCTCGGCAGTGTGGTGCTATCCGGCTCCGGTGCTTCCACATGTGGTGTATCCTCAAGACACAAGGGCTCATCTAGTGTATGAATGAGTGGTTCGGCAGTGGCAATTGGTTCGGCACGGCTTAGTGACACTTCAATTTGTAGCACATTTTCTTGTTCCTCCATTCGGTTTTCATCACCAACATTTGCTTCCAAATTTTCATTCACCGAATTCGTCACATCCGTAGCCGTGTGGGGTGAAATAACATCAAAACTAAGGTTGTCATCCCCAATATTCGAAGGAAATGGGTCCAATTCTTGCAAGCTTCCACCTTCGGTCTCCTTTAAATGTGATGCTTCCCCATGTGCGCCGTGCACTTCTTCTCTAGAAATGACCAATGCTCGGGCAATCTCATCACGAGCAAATCCATCTATAGTCTCAACGGCATCTTCGGGAACTTCTTGAGCCACTTTCTTGCCCCGACTAATAGCAACTTTCTTAATAAAGCACTCATTAATCACCGAAAGTCTAGTCGTGGTAGCAAGATTTCTTGTTCCAATCCATTGTAGAGCAAACTCCTCCAATTCTAGAGTATCCGGTCCTATTGTTGTAGCAACCGATTTGTGATCACTTAGTCTCCAATTCCTCCAAACTTTCACACTTTCATACTCCTTCAACAACTCACTACTTGCCCCATAAGTTGGAATGTCATCTACACTTCCAACTTTACTTGGTAAAACCACCTCTTCATTCGGGTTTGGGGTGTGGGTTATGGGTGCGGGTATGGTGACAAATTGGTGGCTACAAGCATCATCACTACTTCTCCAATGGGTATTGGATTCCCCGTGACTAGTAGCTCGGTTAGAAGGAGGCTTTTTGGCTAGGGAATGGGTTGATGCATTTGCCGGTTTTCGTTTTCGGATATTGGCTAGGGAAGGATCAACCGGGATTGGGGTTCGAAAAAGATAATTTTGGTTTTGTATGGGTTTTGATTTGGATAGGGCAACAGCTTTCAACTTCAACAACTCCCCAACAACAAAACCGTATCCAATGTCATTAGGAAACCATCCATTCACCAATGGTTTTGCTAGCCTAATTTGATCAACCATTCGGCCATATACAAACCGTCCCCAATCTACGGCAACAACATTCACAATGGCATGCATCAAAGGCAAATTCTTCTTTGTAAAATAATTCCTACTAGAATATTTGCACTCAATTGTTTTATGCACAATATCAAGTAGCATTCCATATTCGTGCTTCAACATAACCTTAAAGCCATTAGTACACGTCTCGACTTGTGCGGTTTCGTGTCTAATTTCACTCCAAAAATCATTTAAATCAAAGCCGTGATCTTCAACTTTCAACAATTTTTCCTCCAATCCAAAATGAGTTCTCACATCATCTAACTCAATTTTTAACACAACACCTCCAACAGTAGAATTTATAACACCATGTTCGACAAATGCGTGTCTATAAAATTTTGCTACTTCATTCAAATAGAAACCATCATACTTGAAAGAGCAAAATTTCAATAACCCACTACTTTCAAGAGAGGTTAAGATTTTTACCCCAAAGTCTTGGTTTTGGATGAACTTGTTGTAGTCCTCAAGGTCCATGATCATCCCTCGAATCACCCGTGTGAGTTTCCTCGATCATTCTGTTCCAATTGGGTTTTGAGCTCCTTCCATCTTGATAGAACAAAAATTAGGGAATTTAGAGATGGGTTTCGGGTAGGGGCTTCGGCAGTCCGAAAAATATGGGTAGAAGGAAATGGGTTTTTGGTTGTGAGAGGTTTCAAGGACAATGGTGAGGGTGGGTAATGGGTATTTGGGTGTAGAATGGATTTTTGTGGGAAATTTGGGATGGGTTTGATTGAATTGAGAGATTTTCAAGTTTTGCTTCTTCTTCTTGCATGCGTGCGGTGAGAGAGGGAGGAAGAAGGAGATGATCTTCTTTCTTCTTTTTCTCTTGGAGGCAAAATAAATGCCTAGTAAAATTACCATCTTGCCCTTTAGTGGATAGAAAGAGATTGTAGAACAATTGAGAGCAACTTCGAACTTTCACTGATTTAAAACTCAGATTTTAATACTCCATTTGTGGGTACATAGCGCCAAAAATTAAGCTTTAATTCGCTGCCACCTGTAGATATTCATGGAGCAAAAATTTCTTCGACACAAAATTGTTAGTGCAATAAATCTGTTCATGCTAACAATTTAATTTCGACATCTGATAAATCTGAGAATTAAAATTGATCGACCAATAAAATCAATTTAAACAGATAAGATCAAACTTGATGCTAGATACATTTAATTTTAAAAAGAATCACATCAAATTGACTTAAGCAGGTGAAAATTAAAATTAAAGCTGATGACCATTCAGTCTGACAACTCAATTTGCATGCACTGTTATTAACTTTTAGCATAGCTTATCATCAGGTCATTCCCCCTAGCTAAGTCATATAATCCCTTACTATCATGATGCATTCCCCCTAACTTTAATATCCCTTTTAGCAATTAAAAACAAATAACCAATTTCTACGTACCTAAGTTCGTAAGATAAAATTACTAACATGTACACAAATAAATTGTAACACATTAATTAAATTAAATCACGTTGAACACACAGGTAACAAATTTCATGCAATTTCATGCAAATCACGTACACAAATTTTTCGAATTTAAAAGTTTCGAAATACTTAGCTCATTTCGATCATTCCCATTTCGTGCCTTAGAGTTGCAAAACGAGATTCACACAACGGTTTTGTGAGAATGTCGGGAATTTGATTTTCTGTGGGAACATGATCGATCTTCAAATCTTTCTTCTCGACGTGGTCTTGTATGAAGTGATGTCGGACGTCGATGTGTTTGGTTCGCGAGTGGAGCACAAGATTTTGGGTTATTGCAATTGCGCTAGTATTATCACATAAAATACTAACATTTTCGCATTTAATCCCATAATCTAACAATTGTTGCTTCATCCACAAAATTTGTGCACAACAACTCCCAGCTGCAATATATTCGGCTTCGGCAGTGCTCGTAGCTATGGAGTTTTGTTTCTTGCTGAACCAAGATACCAATCTTCCCCCTAAGAACTGGCATGTTCCTGAGGTACTTTTTCGGTCTATTTTACACCCTGCAAAATCTGCATCTGAATAACCAGTTAGTGTAAAATCTCCTTTTTTGGGATACCATAATCCCACATTGATTGTTCCTTTGAGATATCGAATTATCTTCTTTGTTGCAATCAGATGACTTTCTTTGGGCTTTGATTGGAATCTTGCACATACGCCAACCGAGTAGGATATGTCTGGTCTGCTTGCGGTTAAGTATAGTAACGATCCAATCATCCCTCGATACATCGTTTGATCAATGTCTTTTCCTTCATCATCTTTATCCAATTTTTGAGATGTACTCATGGGAATTTTGACTGAGGATTTTCCATCTATGCCAAATTTCTTGATAAGATCTCTTGTGTACTTGGCTTGATTTATGAAAATTCCTTCTTCAAGTTGCTTGACTTGCAGTCCCAAAAAGTAATTTAATTCTCCCATCATACTCATCTCGAACCTGTTCTGCATGAGCTTGGAAAATTTCTCACATAAAGATTTATCAGTACTTCCAAAGATAATATCATCAACATAAATTTGTACTAATAAAATGTGATTATTTTCTTGAATTCTAAAGAGGGTTTTATCGACTAGACCTTTGGTGAATCCACAACTAATTAAGAACATTGACAAGGTGTCGTACCAAGCTCGCGGAGCTTGTTTTAACCCATACAATGCCTTCTTTAATTTGTAGACTTGATCACCAACGTCTTTTACCTCAAAACCGGGTGGTTGTTTGACGTAAAATTCTTCTTCAAGTAAGCCATTAAGAAATGCGCTCTTTAAGTCCATTTGATATACGATGAAATTCTTGTGTGCTGCGTATGCTAGGAATATCCGGATTGCTTCGAGTCGTGCGACAGGGGCGAATGTCTCATCAAAATCAATGCCTTCTTCTTGTGAATACCCCTTCGCGACTAATCTTGCTTTATTCCTAACAATGACGCCATCTTCGTTCGCTTTGTTCCTAAAGACCCATTTAGTGCCAATTACATTTTGGTGCGTTGGTCTTGGAACAAGTTTCCATACGTCGTTGCGCTTGAATTGATCTAATTCCTCTTGCATGGCATCTATCCAACTTGGATCGGCTAATGCTTCGTCAATTTCTTTTGGCTCCAGTTGTGATAGAAAGCATGAGAACATTGCATCTTGTTGTTGGTTCCTAGTAGATGATCGCGTCTTTACTCCGTCACTTGGATTTCCAATGACTAAGTCATGTGTGTGACTTCTTAGCCATTTTCGATTTGGTTGGAAACTTGTTGGATTCTCAGAGTTTCCTTCTTGTTGGAATACTTGTTGTGATTCCACTTGTTGTGAATTGTTGACGGGTGCATCTTCGGGTTCATCTACTGGAGTTCCTTCTTCTTGAATTCTGGGTGCAATTTCGATTGTAGGTGTGCGTGATATTTCGGGTGTCACATAGGATATTGCCTCAATTTGGTGAATACCCATATCACTTGATTCTTCTACTTCCTGCAACACATTATCTTCCAACATATCGTTAGAAATAATTAAATCACGATTACCTTTACTATTTTTGCCATTTTTGTCGTGATTTTCATCAAACACAACGTGAATCGATTCTTCTACCACCATGGTTGATTTGTTGAATATTCTATACGCCTTGCTGGTGGATGAATATCCTAAGAATGTTTCTTCGTTTGCCCGCTCGTCAAAAGTCTTTAATTGGGACTTTCCATTAACAAGTACAAAACATTTACAACCAAATGTATGAAAGTAGGTGAGATTGGGTTTTCTCCCTTTCCATAATTCATATGGTGTTTTGTTATAAGACTTGTGGATTAGACTTCGATTTTTAGTATAGCACGCCGTATTGATTGCTTCTGCCCAAAATCTCTTTGGTAGTCCGGCGGCTGATATCATGACTCGTGCGGCTTCCTTCAGTGTTCGATTTCTTCTTTCAGCTACACCATTTTGTTGCGGCGTTCGTGCGGCAGATAATTGATGTAAAATTCCTTGTGAATTGCAGTACGATTGAATTACTCTGTTCACGAACTCTGTTCCTCGATCAGTTCGAATTGTTGCAATCTTCATATCTTTTTCGACTTGTAGCAGCTTTAATAGCTCTGTCAACTTTGATAAGACTTCATCCTTTTTCTTGATGAATATTGTCCATGTGTACCTAGAAAAATCATCAACAACAACCAAAGTATATTTCTTACCACTTATACTTACTGGGTCTACTAGACCAAATAAATCCATGTGCAGTAGACTTAAGGGTCTTGATGTTGACTCTTGAGCTTTGGATTTGAATGATGCTCTGATTTGTTTTCCTTTTTGGCATGCGTCACATACTTGATCTTTCTTGAACACAATATTGGGTAGTCCTTCGACTAACTTCTTTTTGGCAAGCTTGTTGATTGTTTTGAAATTCAAATGATTTAGCCTTCTGTGCCATTCCCAACTAGCTTCATTCGAATTATTTGCCATCAAGCATACAGAATCTTTTGTTGTACTCCAATCTACAACATACATGTTTTTCTTTCTTGATCCGGCTAGTACGACTTCTTTCGTGGATTCGTCTTTGACTTGACATTTGCCCTTGTAGAATTCTACGAGATATCCTTTGTCGCAAAATTGGCTTGTACTAAACAAATTGAATTTTAATCCTTCGACAAATGAAACATCTTAAATTCGTAGACCATTTTTCACAATTGCGCCGGTTCCTTTTGTCATTCCATATCGATCGTTTCCACCGAAAACTACTTTTGGTCCTTCGATACTTTTGAACTCAACTAGACTAGCTTTATTGCCGGTCATATGTCGAGAGCAACCGCTATCGAAATACCAAACTTCCTGCAAAAAAGATTAATTTCTTTTAGGTACCCATACTTGTTTGGGTCCTTTTGTGTTAGTAATTTTTGGCATCCAAATCCACCTAGATCCCACTGATCCAAGAGTAGGTGATTTGTAACCATTAAAAACTTTATAATCATAACGCACTTTCGAATAATGATTCGGTGCGGGTTGGGAAGCTGATAGTTGCTTGATTCTATGAAATAGAGCAAATCTGGACTTGGTCCATGGTTTGATTTCAAGCGACCAATCTTCTTCTGAGGGATATAATCTCCCAGCCCCAATTCTCGGAATTCTTCCCATATTCCTATGAGGTTTTGTTGCACTAGACTCGTTGGTTCTCCTTTGAGATATAAATTTTTGCCTTTTAAAATTTTGTTGTCTTGCCAAGATATCATTGTGTTGATTCGGCCTTGCAACAATTTTCTGGGCATTAATTTTGTTTCCAACTCCTTGTCTCATTGTGCTATGTTGACTTTTCACAAATTTTACCACTGGAACTTTATTAATTAAAGTAGTAGTAGAATTAGTCAACTTTTGAGGGGTTTTAGTACATGATGGATCGTAGCCTAGTCCGGCTTTATCTCCAGCGGGTTTTTGCATGCTTACCATTTTATCCATTATTTTGGATGAATGCGTAAATGATGCGATTACTTCCCGAAGGTTATGTTCTCTAACCTCTCTAGCTTTGCACTCTTCTTGAAGTCGAACATTTTCGGCTTTCAAATTACTCATTTCATTTAGAGCATTTTGCAATTTTTGTGACATTTCTTCCTTTTCAAGAATTAACGTATTATTGCGCTCTTTGATTTGAGTATGAGTGGCCATGACCTTTTGACAATCTTCTATAAGACTTTGAAAAGATTTTTGAGTCTCGAAAGAAGTGTCAACGGAACTAAAAGAACTAGAAGATACCTCTCCGTCGGTTTCACGCGCCATATAGCATTCTTCATGTTCGGATGTTTTGCCCATTAGACATAGTAGCGCCGTATCTTCTTGTGATGAATCACTCTCGTCACTAGATGATTCTTCAAATTCACTTGCTTCTAGCGGATCGCTTATTAGTGCCTTCCGTTTATCCTTTTTGAATTTCTTCTCTTTCGACTTATACTCAACTTGTGGAGAGTTAGAAGTATTCGAATTTTTGTTCACCTTGGGATGTGGACATTCGGTCATAAAATGTCCAGGCTTTCTACAATTGTAACACACATTTGTGTTATCTTCGACCGGTTCCCTTCTTGATCTTCTATTCTCTCGAAAAGAATTTCCTTGTGGTGATCCTTTGTTCTTTCGCATGAACTTCTTGAATTTCCTAACAAATAAGGAAAATTGTTCGTCAGATAAAAAATCATTATTTACGACTGACCTTGATGTAGATGGTTGTTCGGCCATCAATGCGGATGTTCGTTCATCACGTTCTTCTTCATTTCGTGTCTTCATTTCGAATTCATACGCCTTTAGATCACTAAAGAGTTTATCCGTAGATAATGTCCTTAGATCTCTATGATCGCGCATTGCGGTCACCTTCATATCCCAATTTGTAGGTAGTCCGCGTAACACTTTGAGCGATATTTCCTTCTGGGTAATGGTCTTTCCCAGATCCGTGATTTCTCCAAGTATTTTGATCAATCGAGCTTCCATGTCGGTGATGCTTTCGTTCGGTAGCATTTTGAAATCTTCGAACCTTTTCATGGCGATGGTTAGTTTGTTGTCTTTTTCTTGTTCATCGCCTTCACCGATACTAATGAGAGTATCCCATATTTCTTTTGTCGTGGTGCAATTTCGAATCTTTGGGAATATTGTGTCATCGACCGTTTTGAACAAAATGTCCTTGGCAATATTGTCCAAGTTAATTCGTCCTCTATCTTCCTTTGTCCACTCCATTTTTGGCTTTGGAATATATCGTGGAGCATTTGGATCTCGTGGGGTAGCGGTATTAGCTTCCATAATTTGGATAGGACCATTTGTGATGACTTCCCACATTTCATCATTTAAAGCAGATAAGTGCACCTGCATACGTATTTTCCAATCATCAAATTTATCAAGTGAGAAAAGCAAATTTTGAGCAAGAACCATATCTCTCTTCATCTTGAAGTTTTTCGAGATCTGCCTAGCAGTCAAAATTGACTCAAATAGACAACTGCTCTGATACCACTTGTTGGTCCCGAAAGGGTGGCGAGAAGTCTAGAGGGGGGCTGAATAGACTTCTCTAACTTTTTCAAACTTCTTCTGCAAACAACACTTTGTAACTTCAACTCTAAGTAACAAGCATAAACAAGTATAACAACTTAGAGTGTGCACAGCGGAAATGTAACGGCAAAGTGTTATGCTTTAAATTGTGTCGTGCTTAAGAGAGATTTCATACATGCATCACATTAGAAACACTTAATATAGATGTAGGATGATGTATATAAAATTTCACTTGCATGCAAACGAGGGAACTATCAAACCCAGACAGATAAAGATACGCAATAAACCGTAAAGGGTTAGTTCACAAATAATATAGGCATGCACGGAATATATATGAGCAGTAAGTAAATAGAGAGAGAGATTTATAGTGGTTCAGAGGTGGTGTAATCCTCCTAGTCCACTCTTCTCCTTTCACTTCAAGGAGGAAATTCACTATTCTTCAATCACCGAGATACAATAGTGAATAAGTGCCCAACGACACTTCTCCGAGTGCTTCGCACAAAGATACACTCCACCAAGGTTTTTCGCAAGCTCCTCTTGTTACTCCGCCTTCCCGAGTACTTCGCACCAAGCTGTACTCCTACACCACGAGAAATACGCACAAAGCTACGCTCTCACCGGGTTTTCACAAGCTCCCCTTGTTACTCTGCCCGTTACAACCGAGTGCTACGCACAAAGCTACACTCCAACTGGGTTTTTCACTCTCCCTAGTTACTCTACCCCTTTCCTACACTCAGTAGAAGATTTACAATGAAATACAAAGATTTCTTCTCTCAGACTTGAATTCTATTTTATATAGCTCAATATACCACTTGATGATTGATTGGATAATTTTCTTTGTTGTTCAAGTGTTTTCTGAATCTCTGTTAGATTCGTGCTTGTCTTCAAGTTTGCTTGGGCAATTTATAGCAGATGAAAGCTATTTGCCCGTTGATCAACTTTCGATCTCGATCGTCCATTTTGAATTGTAGTTGATGAAATAATTTTTGCCAACTTGGTCTGCAAAAATCATTTCGCCGTCTGTCAGAAGATTTTGAGAAATCTCGCCGTTGCTCTCCTTTAATCTGACAAAGCTTTTCTTTGGAA